TTTTTTAACTTTATTTATTTTGGTGGAACCTGGGATTGAACTCAGGCCCTTGTGCTTGCCAGGCAAGCACTTATTCTTTTTTATTTATTTATTTATTTATTTGTGTGTGTGTGTGTGTGTGTGTGTGTGTGGCCAGCTCAGCCCACCAGGGGGCGGGGCTGGCTGGCATGTGGTGCTGGGGGATTGAACCGCGGTCCCTGCGCTTTGCCAAGCTTGTTCTAAGTAGGTGCTTTAGACAACTGAGCCATCTTACCAGCCCCTCATTCTGGCTTTTACTAAACAGTAATTGACAGCTTACTCATTAAGGCCTATGAACCACAGAGAGTGAAGAGAACACAATAGATGAAGGATCTCCAGGTTATGAGCTTGTTTTGGCCACACTAGCCTTCCTTCCTTCTGTGTAGGAGTTGGGGACAAACTTCACATCACGTCACACAGTTTAGAACAGTAGCTCATCTGTTTGCTCTGGCATTTATTTGGGCATTCAAGAGTATGTGACAAGAAGAAAAACAAGGGCTTTTAACTTGGATATAATCCCTGTGCTGTTGCTTGGTAACCAGAAGCCCATGTAGGTTGTTGACTGGATGTGGCTGGGGATTCTGATAAACTACTTGGAGGAATTGCTGCCCTGGGGATAGCAGAAAACTTAATTATGATGTATTTAAATTTGGGGAAATTGTCTAGAAGCACATTTAGTTTTTTTTAAGTGGCTAAGAAAAAAATCATGTTGCTTTAAAAAAAACTTTATCATGCTGTACTTCACTACTGTACCATTTAAAGTATACAATTAAGTGCTTTTTAGTATGTTCACAGATACATGGAGCCATCTCCCCAGTCGATTGTAGAACATTTCCATCATCTCAAAAGGAAAATCTGTCTTTTTCAGTTGCCACCTTCTCCCTCTCCCCTCCCATTCCTAGTCTCGAGGCAGCCACTAATGCACTTTCAGTTGCTATAGATGCCCTGTTTGGGACATTCATATGAGTGTGGTCATGTAATATGTAGAGTTTTGTGAATAGCTCTTTTTAGTTAGTGAAAAGTTTTTAAGATTCATGTTGTAGCACGTTGTGTTTATTAGCACTTTAAGAGACAAGGTTTTGTTAGGAGTAGTGGCACAAATCTGTAATCCCAGCTATTTGGGAGGTTGAGGTATGAGCATAACAAGTTTGAGGCTAGCCTGGGCAGTTGACTGAGTTTTTTGTTTGTTTGTTTATTTATTTATTTATTTATTTATTTTTGTGTGTGGCCAGCTCAGCCCACCTGGGGGCAGGGCTGACTGGCATGTGGTGCTGGGGGATTGAACTGCGGTCCCTGTGCTTTGCCAGGCTTGTTCTAAGTAGGTGCTTTAGACCACTGAGCCATCTCACCAGCCCCCTGACTGAGTTCTTGTCTCAGAATAAAATTTTTAAAAAATGGGGATGGGGCCGGGGAGATAGCTCAGTAGAATAAGTGCCTGCCTGGCAAGCTCAGGGTCCTAAGTTCAATCCCCAGTACTGGGGGGGGGGGAGATGGAGATGGAGCTGAGCATGCCTAGATTTAATCTCTAATACCACAAAAAGAGAAAGAAGACAGGAAATAGTTGCATACACTTAGAATCTCAGTACTGTGGGAGGCTGAGGCCAGTGGATCCCAAATTCAATTCCAGCTGGGCCATTTAGTGACTTGGCAAGATGCTGTCTCAAAATAAACAAAAAAGGGCTGTGGGTGTAGCTCAGTTTGAAGGCCTTGCTGGGTTCAATCTCTAGTAAATTAGTCTCCCCCCCTCCCCTCCCTGTCCCCTGCTCCTCCTCTCCTCCTCCTCCCCCTCTCTGCCTCTCCCTCAGAGAAAAAATCTGGCAGGATTGCCAAGGGGTGGCCTCAAACTCCATGAAATTTACCTTTTTTTTTTTTTTTGCGGAACCGGGGATTAAATTCAGACCCTTGTGCTTGCAAGGGAAGCACTTATTCTACTGAGCCATCTCCCCAGCCCCTACCTTTCTTGAACTTTACCATTTTAATTGTTTTTAAGTTCAGTGGTGTTAAACATGTGCACATTATTGTAATGTGCATGAAGTTTTTCTTCCCAAGCTAAAATCTCATTCCTGGGATCTAGGGAGATAGCTCAGCACTCTAAGTGCCTGCCCGGGAAGCACAAAGACCCAGGTTTGGTCCCTGGTACTGCATGCCATGCTGGCCCTGGAATCCTGGGCTTGCTGTGCCAGCCACTGAAACTGGGCGTGGTGGCATATGCCTGTAATCACAGCACTGGGGAGACTGAGACAAGATGATTACTACGAGTCTGAGCTGTATAGTGAGACCCTGCGCCAAATAAATACAAGATCAAAAAAGAAATCCCATCCCTATCAAACAGTGATCCTTTTTCCCCAGTAATAGCCCTTATTAAGGTCCAGTCAGCATCCCTTTCCATTTAACAGTATTTTCTGTGTGTTGACCAATGGCTCTGCCAATCCTTTAATTTTAACCATTCATTATAAAATGTGTTTTCAAGCCAAACATGGTCGTGCATACTTGTAATCCCAGCACTCTGGAGGCTGAGGCAGGATGGTCACCATGAGGTTTCAGCCAGCCTGGGCTACATTGTAAAGTAAGTCCAAGCCAGCCTGAACTACACTGGGAGACCCTGTCTCAAAAAACTAAAAGAAAACAAAATTTGTTTTCAGACTTCTGAACACTAGAAGTGTAAGAAAAATCAGTGCTGTTTCATAGAGTTTTGTGTCTTTCCTCTCCATTAGAAGTTTTTCTTTTTCCTTCCTCTTTTCTTTTCTTTCTTTTAACAGTACGGGAGATCAAATCCAGGAGCTGCACTACTGAGCTACATCTCTAGCTAGCTTTGAGACATGACCTTGCTAAATTGCCTGGGTGGCCTCAAACTTTAATTCTCCTGCCTCAGCCTCTCCATTTGCTAGGTTTACAGGTATGCACAACAACTGCACCTGGTAGAGCAGAGATCTCTTGAAGGGAAAGACTAGAGCATGTTTCAGCTGGGCTTTTTTGTACTACTAGAGAGTGAACTTATGGGTCTTGGCACTGAGCTACCCTTTTTATTTTCATTTTTTGTCCCCCTTTTATTTTTTATTTTTGCTGTGTGGTTCTGTCGTTGAACTCACTGTGTAGCCCAATCTGGCCTTAAACCTGAGGCAATCTTCCTGTTTTTGTGCTGGGATTTTGTGCTGTCTCAAAATAAACAAGAAAGGGCTGTGGATGTAGCTCAGTTTGAAGGCCTTGCTGGGTTCAATCTCTAGTAAAATCAGTCTTTCTCTCCCTCTCCTCCCTGTCCCTTTCCTCCCTCTCCTTCCTCTCCTTCTCCCTCATCCGCTTCTTCACCCTCTCCCTTTCTCCTTGGTCAGAGCCATGTCTGGCTTAGTTTTTGGGACAGGGTCTCACTGGTCACTGAATTGCCTTGGCTGGCCTCATACTTAAAATAACTCTTGCCTCAACCTTTCAGCATGCTGGGATTACTGGTGTGTGGCTTCATGTTTTGACTTTGGTGTTGCTCTGTTTTCTAGCACAGTGCTTTGCTTATGTTAATAGTTAATAAAATTTATTGACTAGATAAGAATAGAATTTGGGGACTCTGAAGTCTACTACAGCTGAAGTACCTCTTATCTGTTACTTCTGCTTGTGTAGTATTTTGTATTCTGCATTTATTGCATAACTAACCTTCTGTGGCTGATCATTTTCTACACAGGCAGATAGTTTGTCCCAGGGTTGTTTCCTGTGTAAATGGCTCTGTAACTTGCTTTTGGTCTTGATAGATAGCTGAATTTGATTGTAGGATATTGAGGTCTCTTTGGGCTTCATGGAGAGCTCCAACAAGTAGGTAATGTTGCAAGATTTTTGAAGAGACTCATACTCACTTGTAGAATTTTTACTAACACTAGCAGAGAAAAGGTACTTAGAACCACACACTAAGTGGGAAGCCTAGAGAAGAAAGTTTGAATATTGCCCCAATATCTTTTTGACCTTAACTTGGGATCCTCCTGCCTCATCCTCTTGAATGGCTGGGATTATAGATGTGCATTAGTACACTGGCTTGCCCCAAGATTTTTTCTTTGTTTTTTCTGCAGTACCAGGGATTGAACTCAGGACCTTGCGCTTGCCAGGCATGCACTTATTCTACTGAGCTGTCTCCCTGCCCCTCCTCAAGATTTTCTAGGGTAATTACCAGAGTATAATGGTGGGGCTGATGGTGTAGCTCAGTGATGGAGTTCTTGCTAGTAAGCGTGAGCACAGGGTCCTAGGTTCCATCCCGGCACTATAGCAAAAAACAACAGGCAAACCCCAGGAGATGAACTTCTAGAATAGAAATCTTTTTCTGAAAGAATATAAGCCTAAAGAACTGCATTGTAGAATGTCCCTATTACTAGTGCTGAGGAGGGTCCTCTTTTTTTTTTTTTGGCAGAACCAGGAATTGAACTCAGGCCCTGGCCCTTGCCCTTGCCAGGGAAGCACTTATTCTACTGAACCACCTCCTTGGCCGGGAAGGTTCCTCTTTGGTTTTTCTCATTCTCTTGATATACACAGGCAGTTTTATTTACAAACAAACACACCAAAAAAACTTCCATAACTCTACACTTAGAAAAACAGAGTGGGCATTTCTGGGTTTTTTGTTTTTGTTTTTGTTTATTTTTGGCAGAACTGGGGATGGAACTCAACCCTTGTGCTTGCCAGGGAAGCGCTTATTCTACTGAGCCATCTCCCCGACTCCAATTTCTGGTTTTATTTTTGGCAGAACTGGGGATTGAACTCAGACCTTTGCACTTGCTAGGGAAGCACTTATTCTACTAAGCCATCTTCCCAGCCCCAATTTCTGGTTTTAATTTGGCTCATGGAACTAATTGAAAAGTGGAGCTCATCATTCAAGTTCCACCTATCCTCAGAGAATGTGTGGAGCTTAGATGAGTTCTTTGATAAGCTCGACTTCTCATCCCTGTATGTACCAAGAGAGGGACATGGTTCACGTTCACAGCAGAATCCTCACCGTCTTCTGATTCCAACAGAGGTGGCCTCAGTAACATGCTGTTCCAGTGCTCCCTACCTGACACCATGGCCTCCGTGGGCGATGAACCTCGGAAAGTGCTGCTGCGGCTGTATGGAGCCATCTTACGGATGGTGAGTTCAGGGGCTCCTTGGGAGGGGGGCTGTTGACTTTTCTGATCTTTCCTAAGGTACCTGGAAAGAGATTCTAAATACTTTAGTGTTATACCAAAGATATTTAAATATGCTGCTTTATGTTAATTGGTTTGTACAACTCAGTTATTCACATCCTAAATTAATTGTTTATATTAGTAAATATTAGTATTTAATATAGTAGTAAAACAAGTATTGTCAATTTTACATCTAAAAATATAATTTTCATTAAAACAGTGTTTGATAGTTCTTGGATTTTTTCTACAGTGAAATTTTCAATTCTGACTTAGACTGTAAAACTCTAATGTGGAGAAGAAATCATTTTGTAGCATAATCAAAAAGATTTTATACCATAAATATGTATAATTATGTGTCAGTAAAACTCAAACATTTTGGAAAATAGTTCCATTTAACAAAGTATGCTCTAAATGCAGCTGCCTTAATTAACTACTTCTCTGAGATACCTTTATTTGAATGTACTAGATTTTTAATCTTTCTAAATTTTTGTAATAAGTCAGTTTTCATTTTTCAATGAAGTGCCTCTTTTGTTGAATTGTTTTATCAATTGTAGGGTATTATATAAAATTTCTTTCTGTTTTTTTTTTTTTCCCCCCTCATTTCACTGTTCACACCCATAGCACTGTTAGGTTGATACCCATTTTGCTCTGGGATAGTATCTTCAGAAATTAGAGCAGAATAGTTTTCTGATGAAGTTCTTAAAGAGCACAGTCTATTTCAACTCAGTCCAGAAAAGCAGATCATGCCAGACTTGGTGGCATACATACCTACAGTGCCAACACTTGGAAGACTGAGGCTTGGTATGAAGACCACCATGAGTTTGAGGCCAACCTGGGTTGGATAGTGAGGTTAAGGCCATCCTAAACTTCAAAACAAAACCTTTTCTCAGAAAAAAAAAAAGAAAGAAAAGCAGGTCATATCCATGTCCGTGATATTTGATTCTGTGCTTAGATATATAAATTGATGATCTAGGGCCGGGGAGATGGCTCAGTGGAATAAGCTTCCCTGGCAAGTGCAAGGGCCTGAGTTCAATCCCTGGTTCCCCTAAATAAATAAATAAATAAATAAATGAATGAATGATCTAGAAGTTGATTTGTTAAATTGTCACGTGAATGAATCTTTTCATTAGGTAATTTTTCCTTGATTGCATTAAACTGTGAAAATGGATAAGGTCTAAACGGGTAGGAAACAAGTTCATACATTTGGAGGTACACACTGCTGAAGACAGCGGAGGTCAGTAATTAGGTACATACTACTGGCGCACAACTAGGGCTAGCGGTGCTACATGAAACGCTGGGCTTCTACTGACAATATATACACAGAAAGATTCTCGTATTTATTATGCAATTTGGTTTCTTTTATGTAATCAGATTGCCATTTCAGAACATAATTTTTAATTGATGTCCTTTTGGCACCTTTGAATGAAGTCAGTCTTTTTAGCACTTTTTTCTTTAGGACTACTTATGTTCTGTAACAACTGAGTCTCCACTTCTACCCTTTGTGCATTTTGCGTTTAAGTAGTACTTTTTAAAATTCTGGAATGATAAATAGCTCCTGAAATTGTGATATGACTGTTGTTTAATTCTGATGAAGCTTTGGTTCCTAATTCTCATTTAAATAGAAGCCTTTTAAGTACTCAGACTCTGCCCTTCTAGGGAATAGACTAAAGCAGGAGTCAGTTCTGTGCTCTAGAGCAGTGCCGCAGTGAGGGTCTGAAATGTCCTGCACCTGTGGTGTCCCGTGTGGTGGTCGCCAGGCACATGTGACTGTCAAACACTTGAAATATGGCAAGTGTGACTGACAGACTGAATTTAAAATTTAATTCTAGCGAATTAAAATAGAAAGTCACGTGTAGCTGGTGATTGCTGTATTCGACAGCCGAACTCTAGAATGTGCTGGGGACTAGTACGTGAATAATGTTGTAAAAAGACAGCTGTAACCCAGCCTGTGACATGACAGTATTGCCTCCAGTAAAGTCTCACTATCACCTATTAGTTCATCTTTTTGGAATTTTAGCTGTCTGGAAGGTATTACCTTATAACACTTAAGTATAATAGAAATGTCTGGAAATGAAATTGTTTACATAGAATTCTGTGTCCATATTTTTAAGGAAAAAATAAACTTGGATAGCTCAGAAAAACAAATAGAATAATCAAAGCTACTTGAAATGGAGTCTGCTCTTACCAAACTAATAGGATAGAGTATGTTTATGAACATTTCTAACTTTAGGGGCAAATACCAAACTACATTTAGCTATTCAGTTATCTTTTATCTTTTAAATGTTTAGATTAGTTTCCATTTCCTTACTTGAAGCTACATTTGCTGATGAAAAGTGGAGACCATGCTTGCTAGCATCTGATCAGAACAGGCAGGCAATGGGCAATTTTTCTAAGAGACAAGAAACACGTGTTTAGCAGTCTCACAATTGACTTGATAAACTTAAAAATTTATTGTATTAAAAAGAACTCATTTTTGTTGGAAAACTACTCTTTTGCTTCACAAGTAGGAGTGCATATTATTATTAGTAGCTAATTTAGTTCAAGCATGCTATTTTGGCTGAAGCTTAAACAATAAAATTATGAAATTTACCACTTTAAATTGAAAGATTTTTTGTTCTCAGATTTTGCAGTCTACAAGGACACTTGTTATATTGATGGTTCCTATAGGCTGTTGGTAATTGGGAGTGCTGTGGCAGCACAAAGACAGGAGCCAAGTTCAGGGACTCTGAAATGGTGTCATAGGAGAGAGAACATAAAGTAAGATGTGAGCCAGGTGAAATAAAAGTTGCGCCCTTCCAACAGCTCCTACGACAGTGTGCCAGGGACGTTAGTATGGAGTAAATTTCTCTTCAAAGGTTTTTAGCTCAGTTTTCACATTTCTGTTACTTACTCTTGGCATGCATGCAGTCAGATTGCTGGTTTATCATCAACTGTTTGAAGTGAATCTGGGCTAGCATGAAAAGAGATACTTGCAAAGAAATGCCAGAATTGATAGTAAATTGTCAGAATTTGCAATAAGAGATGTGGTGGAATTAATATGAAGACCCGTAATAAATCCTACTTCTTTAATAAATTATGAGCTAAAGACAATTAAATTAAATATAGTGTGACTCAAACTTTTTTGCTTTCCCTTTTCACTGTACATTATAAGAACACATACATTCTATATGTATATGTGTGTTTATACAGAAATAATTGGTGGCTCCTCAGTCAGCTATGCAGATGCCACTGTGGCCTTTAAGGCGGGCCAGTTGGCTCTTTCCTTAACATGTTAATTGAAGGCTGCTGCACATGATGATAGGCCTGTGTATTTTCTCAGAATATTTTGCTGTTTTGCTTAATTATATGATAGACTGGTTTAATATGTCCCTATTTTTCTTTTCCTTCTCATTTTAAACTCTTGAACTTTTTACCTCTGACAGTCAAATATTAAGTAGAAGTACTTAAAGTGACTCGGTTTAAAATTTTCTCAGTTTACTCGTATTTATTCCTTTTGGTGTTGTGCGATGTCTAATTTCCTTTATTTCCATAGTGGCAGTGAAATGACTGCTCTTTGGTGCAGTTCTCTAAGTGTTAAGTACCAGAAAGCCAAGGTAAAGCCTTCTGCTTGGGTTCACACTCACAGTTTGTGTCCCACAATATCCGTCTCTTACAGCCCTTAATTTTGTGTGAGATGAGACATAAGCAAACGCTCTAACTATTCTGGAAGTTTGTTTAGGGTTTGTGTCAGGTTTAGCGCACTTAGGAAAAGTCCTGTGTTTAACAAGGACAGGAGCAGGTCCTGTTGAAAATATGCACAAGAGTCATAGCTATAGATCTGTAGGCAAGTTTTATGTAAACTTGTAAGCAAATTTTAATGTTGGTTGGATCTTGATACGTGTCAGTATAATTTAGTGTCTGTTTTACATGAACTAGCTTTTCAGTGTAAAAAGGAGAAGGCTATTTTCATTAGTTGCAGGGATGATGAAAACCAAACTGAACTGTAAAGTTATGGTGAACTAAAAGTTAATTGAAGTTTTGAGAATACGTCAGCTTTTGCTTTTGTAGAAAGAGAGATAATTGCTACAAGAGAGCTTGAAACTATAAACTAGCTATAAATGTAACTTGATTTTTTTCCTTTCTAATACTGGGAAGGAACATGAGCTCTGCAACGTCCAGTAGCAGCCTTTTCAAAGAAGCAAGTTTGGCTGATTACAAATAACCAGTTTGCTTATTTATCATGAATTGTGGAAGACACAAATGTCAGTACGTATTGTTCATTCAATGTAACCTGTGCCAGTTGGCGGAAGTCTCAGAGGAGTGCTTTGTCTCCTCCTCTGTCAGAACAGTGACTCTGTGTTAAGCCAGATCCTTCTGTGCATGAATGGAGAGATTGGCCTCGCCGTTACCAACGGTCTCACAGGCATGAATGTTCATAACACACATCAAAGATCTCTCTTGAGTGTTGTCTGGAAAAATGTTTTTGTTTGTTTTTTGGGTAATAGAAGGCTAATAGTAGTGCTTGTTTGAGTACTAACCATAATATACTTGAAGACATCAAGGCACAATGCAGATATGTATTTGTAATTCAAATGAGAAAAATTTGGGACACAGATCTTTTTGAATTCAGGAAACAAAGTACCCTCTTCCCTATTCTCTTAACTCCAGTTTAACTAAAGTTAAACCACAGTAAAATACGGAATGGTTCATAGGAAGTTAATATTAAAGTAGGTTACTTGAGAAATTGATTGTTTATTAATTCTGTGAACTAAGGTCACACTCATTGCAAAATCAGGATTGCTAAGACTTCTTGATGGAGAGCTGCCCCTTGTCACTGAATAGCATGAACCCTTTTTTTCTCGCTCATTTCACTTAGTGTCATTATGAGTTTACATTGTTTGGTTTGCTCTGCTTTTTAAAAAATTACCACCACCACTACCCCCACCTGGATGGTGGTGCACAGCTGTAATCCCAGCACTCTGAGAG